CTGGCGTTCGGCCTCCACAAAAGGATTCCAGTTGAAATCCTCTGCGAAAGGAGATTCCCATTGAGATCTTCCACACCTCCTCACCCTCCTCCTGCTCCTCCTCACCCTCCTCATCCTGCTCGCTTCGAGGCACGACTCACAAATCTACTTGTGAACGCAGCTGCGCAACTAGTTTTGTGAGCAACCTCCCGCTACGAGACACTACTCGAAAAACTAATTGTGAACGCCGCTCCACAACTAGTTTGGTCAGTAATGAGCTCCTTCTCGTCATCGTCATGCTCCTCACTCTCCTCTTCTTCCTCCTCCTGCTCCTCCTGCTCCTCTCCCCTCCTGCTCCTCCTGCTCCTTTTCATTCTGCCCCCTCCTCTCAGATTCGAGGCACTCCTCACAAATCTAGTTGTGAACGCAGCTGCACAACTAGTTTTGTGAGCAACTTCCCGCTACGAGACACAACTTGCAAAACTAATTGTGAACGCCGCTCCACAACTAGTTTGGTGAGTAATGAGCTCCTTCTCGTCATCGTCATGCTCCTCACTCTCCTCTTCTTCCTCCTCCTGCTCCTCCTGCTCCTCTCCCCTCCTGCTCCTCCTGCTCCTTTTCATTCTGCCCCCTCCTCTCAGATTCGAGGCGATACTCACAAATCTAGTTGTGAACGCAGCTGCACAATTAATTTTGCGAGCAACCTCCAGGTACGAAACACTACTCGCGAAACTACGTGTGAACGCCGCTCCACAACTAGTTTGGTGATTAATGAGTTCCTCCACGCTTTCGTCATGCTCCTCACTCTCCTCTTCCTCCTCCTGCTCCTCCTGCTCATCTCCCCTCCTGCTCCTCCTTCTCTTCTTCATGCTGCCCCCCCTCTCCGCTCCGACGCGATACTCACACATCTAATTGTGAACTCAACTACAACACTAGTTTTGCGAGCAACCTCCCGCTACGATACACTACTCGCAAAACTATATATGAACGCCGCTCCACGACTAGTTTTGTGAGTAATGAGTTCCCCCTCGTCATTGTCATTATCATCACCCTCCTCGTCTTCCTCCTTCTGCTGCTCATGCTCCTCCTGCTCTTATTCATTCTGCCCCTTCCTCTCCGCTTCGAGGCGTTACAAATCTAGTTGTGAACGCAGCTGCACCACTAGCTTTGTGAGTAATGAATTTTTCCCCACCTTCGTCGTGATCCTTGCCCTAATCTTCCTCTTATTCCTGCTCCTCCTGCTCCTTCTGCTCCGCATGCTCTTCCTGTTCCTTTTCATTCTGCCCCCTCCTCTCCGCTTCGAGGCGTTACTCGCAAATCGAGTTGTGAAA